TCCACAAATGCAAACACACACAAAATGTGTGTGTGTGTGTGTGTGTGTGTGATATAAAGTAGTTATGATAGAGAAAACAGGTCAGTAGTCAGTACATTAGCCAACGGTTAGAAAGGCGGGGTCCAAGATTTAACAGTTCGATCCTGCAGGTACAAATATGTGAAAACACACCACACACACACACACACACACACACACACACACACACACACACACACACACACACACACACACACACACACACACATACCTCTTCACGTGTATGCTTATGTATCATATGCACATGAAATAGCACATTATCAAAATATATTCTGACAATATTTGGGATTTGACAGGCGTGTAATATGCGTCCAAGCAGCACACACCGATCCTCTCCTCCGCCTCGAACCAAGGGAACATAAAACTGTGTGAAACTCCTACACCAGTGTACGACGTGTCCCCGTCCCCATCCTCCCACAGCACCGCAAGCTGTGAAACAAGCAGCACACAGCACCTCTCTGACCAATACACTCATCACAGCTATTTTCTCCCCCAGTAAACTAAGGAAAATATCATGAAAATATTCCTAAGTTTTATCTGGAAGAATGAAGCTAATATAAATAAAATAGTAACATTTCTCGCTCGTGTCAAATAATAATAATAATAATAAAAATTATAACTTTTGTATTAACAATAGTAATATTGTTAATAGTGAAAGCTCTGGCAAAAATAATAATAATAATAATAATAATAATAATAAAAATAATAATAATAATAATAATAATAATAATAAAAATAATAATAAAAATAATAATGTTTCAGCGTCCGTGAGGTTCCCAACAAGATACAGTATTGAGGAGCACAGTTGAGCTTCATACATTTACTTGTATCCATGAAGCCTTTCTTATACAATCATCTTCATTGTTTCTTGAAGAATACTTTATATAAGCTGAATCGACTTTTGAAGAAGTAACATTTAATTTATAAAGACTCGGCTTTCACCTACAACTCTTTAAGAAAGTCCAGATTATTCAGGTGATTAATATTTTAATCCTGATTGTCGGACGTCAATGAGCAATTTAGTGTTGTAATGTATTCAGTTTTTAATGTATTATGTATGCCATAAATAATATATATCGTATATTATTTATATTATGCTGCACAGTATGCTGCTTAAGACATATTATTTGTATTTCAGTAATTTTGTACACTGGAATATTGTATTTGTTTGCAATTAATGCAATACGATCATATTATTTAGAGGTATAAATATACGATGGTAGAACAGATGTGATTATTGAAGTGCAGTGTTGGACGATCTCTTGAGTCACTCAGTACGTCACTCGCTTCTTCAATACACACACACACACACACACACACACACACACACACACACACACACACACACACACACACACACACACACACACACACAAAATACAGCCTTGTTTCTATTGTAAAATAAAACTTAAGAAACTTCGGTCCTAGTGATAGCTGCAGATGCAGACAGACCAAATAACGCCTTAATGTTTCAACTTTCTATTGATACATGTGTCTGAACATCTGCCTCTCTCTAAGCCTTCGTGTAAGTAGCAGAACCCAAACATTCCGAATTCACGCGAAATTATAGGAATAAAATATAAAAATATTGATAATGTAGTGAGATAATATAAAAAACTATAAATAAATTGCTAATATTATTAATGAATATTACTAATATTAATTACAAATTAATAAAATTATTTATATATTAATAATAATGAAAATGAATAATAAATATATTAAGGCAGTGATTATAGCGCTGCTCAGTAAGCTTTTGGGGCGCTCTTTATTTTACCTCACCCGCGGTAAACAGGCCTCAAACCCAACACCAAAACGAACCAATGATAATAATAAAAATAATAATAATAATAATAATAATAATAATAATAGCATCAATAAAGTGAACTCTAGTATTTTGCCCCGTCGCCAGCACACACTCAGTATAGCCAGTAGACGACGAGTGTTCGGGTAGTTGGGTTGTTAGTGCTGCTCCAAGCTGTTTACGAGCCCTGCAAGACTTGCAATGCACCGCTTGTCCCTGCGAACGACCCGTGTCCTAATTGGTTGAAAGCAAGTTGTCACATCTTTACTTGACTCTTAATTGCCGGTCGTTTAATCCGAACGAAATTAATGATGTACCTCTTGCGAGGCTTGTTTTTAAATGTTAGCCATTAATTTCTCCTATAATTGTTATCAACTTTAAATAGCAGTTTTCAGTAAATATTTTCGTAATCCGTAATAAATTACATAAGAAAATTATAAGAAATATAATTAGGCTTTATACATGATGTTAATGTGTTCTCCCGTTCTCCACAAGACAAATCGTGTTCTCCCGTTCACCACAAGACAAAGGACTACTGTTCTCAGTCTCAACTATCGCTCCACTTAAGGTACTAATCTGGATATATGTTGGTTCAGATGGGCTCCTTGATGAAATCTACTAAATGATACCTTACCCCATTTGTTAAAATATTCAGTTAATATTCAGATATTTAGATTGTCGTGTCATAACGATAATGATTTGGAGAAGTTGTTACGAATAAAGTTTCTGAACTCCAATTTAATTCAAAGTCATTAAAATACGAAATAACTCAAAATATATTATTTACGTCAGATATAATTACAGATTTAAGTATGCTGTATATTATTTCATTATTTACGTTGATAAGTTACAAATGAGTGAGGTGGAACATTACCGGAGGGCCCTGGCGGGGGCCCCAACATCCCTGGCGGGGGCCCCAACATCCCTGGCGGGGCCCCAACATCCCTGGCCGGCCCCCAACATCCCTGGCGGGGGCCCAACATCCCTGGCGGGGGCCCAACATCCCTGGCGGGGGCCCCAACATCCCTGGCGGGGGCCCCAACATCCCTGGCGGGGGCCCCAACATCCCTGGCGGGGGCCCCAACATCCCTGGCGGGGGCCCCAACATCCCTGGCGGGGGCCCCAACATCCCTGGCGGGGGCCCCAACATCCCTGGCGGGGGCCCCAACATCCCTGGCGGGGCCCCCAACATCCCTGGCGGGGCCCCCAACATCCCTGGCGGGGCCCCCAACACACAAGATGTTGCTGGATATTATTGACGGAACTCGATCACGTTAATGTAAAATGCGAAATATTATCACAACTAAAATACGAAGCGAAGAATGCGTTTAACTACTTGATATTAGGATATTAGGTATAAAATTTATCGTTAATAACGTAATGGAATAAAGGCTATTTTCATAAATTCAGAGATATGATTATATATATATAGACGTTATATATATATATATATATATATATATATATATATATATATATATATATATATATATATATACATATGTATATATATATATACACATATGTATATATATATATATATATATACATATGTATATAATATATATATAAATAATATATATGTATACATAAGCCTATACTTGCTTAAACCACAAGTGAAGATTAACAATCTTTGGACAACAGCCACCAGTGGGCCTCGAACCCAGAAAGCACAACTACCTTCCAGTAGCTGCTATAACTAGTACGCCTTAACCCACTACACCGGGTGTAGTGGGTTAAGGCGTACTAGTTATAGCAGCTACTGGAAGGTAGTTGTGCTTTCTGGGTTCGAGGCCCACTGGTGGGTGTTGTCCAAAGATATGTATACATATGTATATAATATATATATATATATATATATATATATATATATATATATATATATATATATATATGTATATACATATATATATATATATATATATATATATATATATATATATATATAAATATATATATATATTTAAATATATAAATATATATATATATATATATATATAAATATATATACATATGTATACAGTATACTATATATATATATATATATATATATATATATATATATATATATACACTGTATGTGTGTGTGTCTTAACGCAGCGGACACCGTTAAATGTGTATAATTGTCACGTTAAATGCCATCGAAATCCAGGGCATTGTCTCAGGTCAAATGTCTGGTGTGAGGAGAGGTGCAGGAAGGCCCCTGGCCCGGGTGTAGGTGAGGCTGGGTCCCGGATACTGACCCGGGGGTGTAGTACACACACACTGACGCTCCCAGAGCTGCTGCTGCTGCTGCTGCTGCTGCGGTGCTCCTGGTACTTAGGGAGGTGAGTCAGTGGGGTGGGCTGGCCCCAGGTGTGCACGAGGCAGTAGCAACAGCTGTCCCTGCCCACCACACCCCACCCACCTCTCACTCCCGCCCATTCACAAAACAACACGGCCCAAAAACACACAACTGGAGATTTATGAAGGTGCTCACCGGTGGTGGTGTACCGTTGGTGGGGGAGGAAGAGATTGACTCGCGGCCGATGATCACAGGTGAGGGTGGTTGGCTGTGGCACTCTGCGGGGGGGGGGTGGCAGTGGCTGTGCTGTGCTACAACCTGTAGACGAACCGCTGTGGAATACGCAGGAAAACATGTAGAAAATCCTGCGACCATCTGTAGAGCAGAATGCGCCACTTGTTCGAGCCCCCTCTTCCCCCTCCCCCTGGCTCCCTCTATAGGAATCTTGAGGCTGAGAAATATAGCAAGAATGACGGAGTGGAGGTGACGGAGAGGTGAAGATGCCCCCAGTAGGAGGCGTGTGGAGGCGAGCGGGAGGTGGTGGTGACTGCGGGAGGTGGTGCTGAGGGCGTGAGGTGACCGCGGCGCCTGTTGCCCCTGGAGGAGTCGGGATTTATGGTGCCGTAAAGTCGGTGTTGGGGGTCGGCGGAGGTGGGTGGTCCGGCAGGCTGGTGGTAGTGGCAGCAGCCGCGGCTTCTGGTGCGACAGTGGCAGCGGCGGTGACGGTGTGATGGTCGCCGCCCGCTAAGAGCCTCGTTTGCATACCGCGGAGGGGGGCGTGGCTGGGCGGCGCTGTGGGCGGAGCGAGGGGTGGGCGGGGGACGCTCATTGGTCGGCGCGGCAGTAATTAGCAGCGGGGTCGGAGCGGGGCCGCCGCCTCCAGTCCGCCGCAGATACTCGGAGCGGCCACATGACAGTCTGCGCTCGGTCGTCGCTGAGGAACGTGCCGTGAACACTGTAGAGTAGAGACGTGGAGCGGCCAGTGTGGAGTACCGTGAGAGTAGCGCGAGCAGTGAGGAGAGCAGGAGCGGCAGCTGTGTGTTCAGTGCTGCCGGAGGAGCAGTGTAGTGTCGCGGGGCGCGCTTACCCCCCTGCGCCTCTCATTTCCATATGGGCGCCCCCCCCGCGGGGAGGTGGCGGTGGTGGGCCAGCCCGCGCATACTCGCCGCCACATTTACCTACTAATTCTCGCCGAGGCGTCATTACGATGTGCAGACGGTGGGTGGCGGCCGCGGAGGTCCCACGCTAGTGATACTTGTGCATGTGTGGTGGTGGTAGTGGCGGCTCAGTGTGGTGTTGTGGCACATGGTGCTAGTGCCGCCCGCACCACGTGTAGCCTACCCTGTGGCACTGCCGGGCAAGGGGGCCAGGCACTTGCTACCCATCACGACAAGACAACCCGCCGCGACCTTACCCAGCAGCACCAGCAGCAGGAGGAGGGAGGCGTGCAGCTCACGTGCCCAGGCCAGCCACGGCAGGAGCATGTGGTACGCCCAGCTCAGGGACGATGTGGACCTCAGGTAAGGCGCCTCCACAACTTAGCCACTTGTCTCTGGCACTCGTCAAGTTGGTGTGACTCGCCCGTGGGACTTGAGTGTTGTATATGTCGGGGCGGGAGAGGACAGCAGTGGTGTGGGATGGGAAGGTGCCATCTCGGCCGCAATTGTCACTCTGTGCATTTGGAAAAAAAAACAGGTTGTGCGGCGAATTTCGACTTGTCTCTTTTTACGTGACTGATAATAAAAATGAAATCATCGTTAATTATTTCCAAGTCGATGGATAGTTTTCAGTTTATTGCAAAACAATATTAAAGTATTATCGATGATAATTAAACAAAATTAATATTAATTTTACTTGTAAATGTATTCAACGTGTGATAAATATTAATGATGACCAACGAGGTTCAGAGTCTACTCTCAAGTTTGTGAAAAAAAATAAAAAATCGAATAATTGAATGTATTTCTTGCACTGAAGCGTAGTTTCCATGAGTGACACGCACGAGTGACTACAGAACACACCCAGCAGGACTTACTCACAACGCAAGGAAAAAAATTATCTAAGTTTCAAAACTGGTCTCGACACGCCCGCCCCCGAGTCAAGAGGGAATCGACTCCCTCTCATATTAAACAATATAATCAGATCTAAGGCCAGCCGCGGCGAGGAATAATAGATCACATTCTATCAGGAGCGCTTCCTTAACACCGGAAACTTGTGGTAGGCGAATTGGACTTGGGAAGACGGCGGGGAGGTACAGGTCCGAGCCGCTACCTTACTAATCCGCCGTCTCTCTCTTTCCTCAAGATACACACTCCCTCGGGTGAGGCCTTCAACGGCGTCTTGAGTGTGGTGAGTGTGAGTGTGGGGGAGGGAGAGTGCGTGCGGTGGAGGAGACTTTAGGAGTGTGGGGCTGGTGTTCAACTTAGCGGGAGACGCTGGTAATTAGCTAATGGAGGGAAGCTTACTGCAGCCTACAAAATGAGAATTTCCTTGGCCATTTCATTTTATGTAATGGAAAAGTTGTCCAGGAAAACATGCATTTATTTCGTTAGCTGATATTTTTTTCGGGGGGTTGAAGTTTATGTATAATAAGAATCTGCGTTGGTTTTCTTAGTCTTCAGTAGAGTCCCAGGAATTGGCAGTCTGATTCTCCTTAAAAACAAGTACTGCTTTCCTTGCGTGTGATAAGTATTACAATTATGTGTCGTTATTTAGTGATGACGGAAACTCTGAAACACCAAAAAACAAAAATGGTCAAAACACACCCGATAATCTTTGTAATATTTTCACCGGAGATTGTTGTATAACTGTGACAGAAAATATATGGTTTTCCGGCAATTGAGGAAGATTGACAAATATGGTGTACAATATTGTCTGGTTTGTTTGGAGGCGACTTGAGTACATTTTAGGGATTGTGTGCACAGGACGTGTGGTGTACACTAGGGTTTGTGTGGTGACTTGTGTACATTCGAAGACGTGTGTAGGTGACGTCGTGTTCACTCTGGGGTTTGTGTGTAGGTGACGTCGTGTTCACTCTGGGGTTTGTGTGCAGGTGACGTCGTGTTCACTCTGGGGTTTGTGTGCAGGTGACGTCGTGTTCACTCTGGGGTTTGTGTGCAGGTGACGTCGTGTTCACTCTGGGGTTTGTGTGCAGGTGACGTCGTGTTCACTCTGGGGTTTGTGTGCAGGTGACGTCGTGTTCACTCTGGGGTTTGTGTGCAGGTGACGTCGTGTTCACTCTGGGGTTTGTGTGTAGATGACGTCGTGTTCACTCTGGGGTTTGTGTGGTGTACACTCTGGGGATTGTGCGGAGGACACGTGTGTACAATCTCTGGATTGTGTGGAGATGAAGGTGTGTACAAGCTGGGGATTGTGTGGAGGTGAAGTGTGATGTACACTCTAGGGATTGGGTGGACGTGCCGTGTGTTGCATAAAGCGGGGATTGTGTGGAGATGACGCTCAGTGTACACCGGGGATTGTGTGGAGGCGGTCGTGTTGTGTCAAGCTGTCTGGATATATATAAACACTTCACTCACGCACCCCAACACCTGTTCCACACACCGTCCCACATTCGCTCCTTTACTAAATCCAAATTTACAAAATAACTACTTTTTTATCATCATAGCGTTATTCGGATAAAAATTTAATTTATATAAATGAGGAATTCACTTAAATGTTTTTTCCCCCCGTAGTAGACGCAATGAGAAATGTGATGCTTCCAAGTGTAAATAAACAATACCATGTTAGCTTTAGATGCAGTGTTAAGTGATGGAAATGAATGAAGGGGCCTGTGTTCTCTGGTGTCCTACACCGTGCCATAGTCGCAAATGGTACGTTGATGAGTGTGTGTTCGGCATTCGCCCATGATGGCGTGACTCCTGCCCCGCCAAGTGTGGATACACGCATGAAGCCACAGCGACAGTTGAGGCAGGTGTTAGTCTAACATAAAGCTTGTGGCAGGTACAGAGTTGGTGACGGCAGTCAGTCAGCACTAGGGTGATGGAGGCACTCAAAACGTGACGGTTGTGGACATACTCGGAACGGTAGCCTATGGTGGTGGAAGTACTCAGAGCGTTACAGTTGTGGAAATACTCAGAACGGTAGCCTATGGTGGTGGAAGTACTCAGAGCGTTACAGTTGTGGAAACACTCAGAACCGAAGTCAATGGTAGTGGAAGCACTCACGAGAGCATTACAGTGGTAAAAGCACTTACATCTTTGTTATTAAAATACGATGGATGTTATTAATACAGGATATTAATAACACGATGGTGCTTATTTAATTCAGTGTTTATTGACGATAAAAATCTGTGATAAGAAGTGTCCTATAACCTTCGAGAACTATTGGGTTCTTGTTGAATATCAAAATCAACACACCTTAAAAAAATGGAAATCCTGCACTTAGATTTATCAAGGACACAGGTAAGCATCATCTGGCAGTTCAGCTGTAGACGAAGCTAACTACTAAATGCTCTTTTACGAAAATAATTTACAAGGGTTTAAGTATAGTTTGGCTACATATACTTGGGGGGGAAAAGTTGATAACTTGCGTAAATAGGCCCTGCAACGCAAGTTCCAGCAAGCGTACTACAGCGTATTTGTCCGTATGTTTACTAGTATCTAACTTAAGTGGTATTGACCGGAAACTGAACGTCATAAGTGACCGGTGTTAGTACTGCACTTTGTTGCGTTATTGCCGTCTTTGTTATTATAAATATTTTTTTTTAGATATTTTTGATAGTTTTCGCGAACCCGGCGCAGGTATTAATGAAGCCAGAGTAAGAGAGAGCGCGTGTATGTGTGTGTGTGTATGCGTTCTTCCTTGCGTTCACTGACTCCAGAACACGCGCCGCCACAGCCTACTCACATACGTCCTGACTCTTGCAGATAGGACATGGCACATGTTTTTCGATCATAGTTATGTTTTTAATGTTAGGTGTGTTCCAACCTTTGGATACGTTATTGAACTTACATGGCTGCTGGAAAGGTAAACATGTGTGTGTGTGTGTGTTCAGTTTGAAGTTGAACATCTGTATGCAGTCCATCTCGAGAGTAGGCCTAATTGGGAAGCTATATATGCAGTATACAGAAGCGCCTGTCGCTGATTTCTTTGTGTTTGGGTGCCACCTAGAAAGCTCAAGGCTTTCCTAGCGGGAAATACACCATGATATTGTGGTCCCTAATAATCTACAGTGAAGACCATCTTTTCCAGTAGCGGAAGAATGTGAAGTGCTGGTTTTAACGTGAGCGCACGCACAAGCGCACGCACACACGCACACACACACACACACACACACACACACACACACACACACACACACACACACACACACACACACACACACACACACACACACACACACACACACAAACACACACACACACACACACCTCATGTTGAAGTGATGTATGGAACAGAGTGCTGTGAACGTGAAAGGTGCCTGCTGCTGCAACTTGTTATTAATTGTCGTAGTGTAGTCTCTCTCTCTCTCTCTCTCTCTCTCTCTCTCTCTCTCTCTCTCTCTCTCTCTCTCTCTCTCTCTCTCTCTTTCTTTCTCTCTCTCTCTCTCTCTCTCTCTCTCTCTCTCTCTCTCTCTCTCTCTCTCTCTCTCTCTCTCTCTCTCTCTCTCTCTCTCTCTCTCTCTCTCTCCTTATTCTAAATGGAACTTCATAAATTCTACCTTAAAGTTGTTCTATGTAAAGAGTTAACACACAAGTAGTTTCGGGCTGTTTTTGAAAGGGAGACAATTGTTCTATGCATGCGAGTCCTCCGTTATCTGCCCCGTCTTTATTTTTATTTGTTTATTTTTAATCCAGCCAGCCGTCACTAAATACATTAATTAGACCGCTCATCCATCCATGGAGATGCTCAGTAGTAAACATTGGAGAGGCTACAAGCTTTTCATAATTGTAGGCACCTCAGACATGTGCAAAAGGTGTTCTGGCAAAGTGTTTTAGTGTCAATCCAAATTGACACATGTGACACACGCTTGACACATATGTGACACGCTTGGCAGAAAGCCGACAGTGACGTTGCTTCCCTTCTCTGCTACTCGCGTACCGGCGTGATTCTTTTTTTAAGCATTGCGTGTCATATATATACTTTTGGGAGGTCCTTTCCGAGAATTTTCCTGTCTTGAAAAACTGCCATAAATTGTGACTGTCTCCGTGCTTGTCTAAGTTGGGGTCTTTATGTCAAACGTTGTGCCAGGGAACCTCATGATCTTCTAAACCAATTTAGATCTTAAGTGAAAGGTCTATAGTGTTCTGGTTCGTCCTACTGTGTCCATGTTGGTCTTTCTTTAACTTTGTATTTTCCTATTTCGATTTTGACTTTTTTAGCTCTCTCTCTCTCTCTCTCTCTCTCTCTCTCTCTCTCTCTCTCTCTCTCTCTCTCTCTCTCTCTCTCTCTCTCTCTCTCTCTCTCTCTCTCTCTCTCTCTCTCTCTCTCTCTATATATATATATATATATATATATATATATATATGTAGAAAGTGAGAGAGAGGGAGAAAGAGGGTACTTT